CTTTCGCGACAACGCAGCCGCGAGGTCCCCTAGCTCCTTCCCGATCGCCTCCTTCTCCGAGACTCCCCCAGCGCAGGACAGGCAGCGCAGCCCCAAACGTTCCAGGGACGGCCCCCCGATTCTGATTGGCGTAGCGCTGTCCCCGGGGGCGGAGACAGGCGAGCCGGTATTAAAAAAAAATCACATGGGTCGCCCTCAAAAGAGAAGCAGTAGCTTATTGAGTTGTTTCATTTGCGAAAGGGTGCTGCGGCCAGCGTCTAAGGGGAGCTTGGGCATGGTTTTGTCCCACCACTGGATCTAACCCTCTTTTAACAATATTAATTCCTTAGTTTAAAATCCACCGACAGGTAAGGAAGATTTCTTTCTGCCTTTTTTTTTTGCCAGCCTAGCGTGTAACTTTCTCTTGCGAAAAGAAAAAAAAAGCGATCGAAGGACTCCTTCGATTCAAAAGTGTCCCACAGATCAGCATCTTTGAACGTCTGCTTTTTTTTAAAAAAAGGATGTGATTGCATGCTAGAAGTAAGAGGAAGCTTACTCCCACCCCGTCTATTTTTTTTTTTTTTTAAAACTTGGTTTTAGGTAGATTTGGTTGGAATTGCAAATTGATATTCCGTGCTCTGAACTCTCACTGCGTTCGGGCTGCCTTTGCAGTGGAAATATTCTGGATGGAAGTTTGCAAAGAATGTTGCCAGCTGCAGGGAGCTCTGGATTACTTTTGCCATTTCCTTTTTTAGTTTTTGTGCTCTTTTTTTTCTGACTGTGATTGCAAATACGTTGTGACTCAGGAAAAGGTCACACAGCACCAAGACCTGTAGGTTCTCATCATACTTTCAAAACTCTTTCACAGCAGCTTAAAATACTAAATGTTGAGTGTTCTCTTTTTTTCTTTTTCCTTTTCAAAATGCACCAAAAGCCACTTGTAGATCTTCCTGTGCGTTATTATGTTTTGACAAGAAGGACTCAAAGGAAGTGAAAGGGTTTGTGAGTGTGTGTTTTGGAGATATTGCATCACTTTTAGCTTGAATCATCCTCGGATTTTTCTCCTTCTTAAAGAAGAGAAATAAAGAAGAAATCATATTGGCTTGGTGAAGCTTATTTGAGACAGCCATCTGAAAATAGTTTATGCTGTAGCTGGAATGTTTAGCGCTAGGAGCAGGCACTGCAGCTGAACAACTGTTGTGGGAAATAGAAAGAACAATCTATTTCTCCCTGTCAGTTTTCCCTCCATCCCATATTTCAGCTTCTTAGATTTCCCCCCATCTCTAGCTATTAGTTAGTCAGATCCCTTATCTTTTCTTCTTTTTCTTCTTTACACTCCTTGTTTTTCCATCCTCACAAGCAGTTTGTCAGTGACACCCCCTGTTGATGACTCTTGTCATTTGTAGCTACTTGGTCATCATCTAGAAATATCTTACCATCTTCAAGCAATCAGGATGTGAGATCAAAGATACTCATCCTTCCTATTTCTCCTCTCCTCTCTCTGCCCACAGCACATGCATTCCATCAGCTTATTATTATTATTATT